ACACAGAAAATGGTCTACTTTCATTCTATCGAATGGCACTATGCTTGTGAAATCAAAATGAATGCAGGAATACAGAACAGTCAGAAAAAATCTAATGCCAAGAATGTAAAATAGAGTTCTGAAAAAGGAAAAAATATATTCAACAATTTCAAAATGTAATTATTCATGAAATAATCCCATATCATAGTCTGAAAAATGAGGCGAGTCCTCACTATTTCCTAAACTAATAAGCCCTAAAGTTACTGTAGCCTTTTTGTTACTAAAACAATGATGAAGCAAAAACAAACCTCTTAGCTCCCTCCTGTGCTTATAAGGGGACTAGACTTTTCTCATCCACCTTTGCTGTCTCTCTAGACATTTCCTAGAGAATATACTTAAAAAAAACTTCCTCATATATCTTTCGAAATCCACAAATAGAAATTAATATATATTTTAGAGAACTTAAAAAGTAGCTGGTTGATACAAGGACATAATTTTATCATGCATCTCCAACATTTATTCAGAATAAAAGATGTATCAATCATTAATTTTCACTTTGGACATGTTGTTTTCATGTATAGAAATTAATGCCAAATAATTTTTAAGCCTGTTTTGAAGCTATTGACATAGAGTATATGATCTATAACCCTAAAATTAATTTGCCATGATTTTCTCAAGCAGTTATATTCAATTTATCATGTAACCTATCAGAATAAATAAAAGCTTCCATTTCTTCTCTCTTTCAGATTTATTATAATTATATGTGGAATGATTATGTCACAAAATTCCATTATCTTAGCCTTGATAATGAGGAAAATATACTGGGTTAGTAATAAACACCCCTGGAGGGGTTCTTTTCAATAAATGATTTAGTTGGGGATATGTAGAAGAAAATGCACATCTAAATTTGTTCAATATGGAGTATCTTATGGTTTTATCAACGAGAAACATGATATCATTAGAGTAATATACTATTTGAGTTTTTAGAAATTAAGTAGATAATCAGGGAAATGTGTACACTTGAAAACATAGATATGATGTTACTATATACCAAAAAAAAAAAAACGAATACAGCATGTAGGAATGCATAGTGAGTAAAATGTTATATAATAGAAGTAAATGCAAATTAATATTGGTAATATACTCTCTATTTCTTAGGAACATATAAGTAACCTAATGCATGGCCATGCTGAAAAAGTACTTTATACTATGAAACTTGTATTGTAACTAAGAAGTTTTACTCAGTGTATATATAAATACAATCTACTGAAAGATTTGTCTTTCAAATTTTTAATATAAAACTTTGTATTTGAGAAGGAATATACTTGAAGTACAAGAAACAAAGACAAAACAAGGATATCTTTTTTTTATTAAGAATTATATATTTTTTTTTGGTTTTGTAGAGACAGAGTTTTTCTGTGTAGCTTTGGAGCCTGTCCTGAAACTCACTCTTATCACTGAAATTATTAAGGCCACTCCACGTAATTAAAAGGGAGGTTTATTTAGTGGCCTAACTTACAAATGAAAGGATAGGTAGGTCGCAGGGTCTGGAAAAGACATAGAGCAGTCCGGCGGTGTTCTCTGGAGAATTCTGCTTGGTCTACCTCCAGCATCCAGGATCTGGGAACCAAGAGCGACAGCACATCCAGATCTCGGGTCTTCAGGGTCCTCTCTTGGCCCTGCCTTGTAGGTGTGAACAGTTACCAAAACCTCAATGGGGGTTGGAACCTCCAGAACAAGGTTGGAAGGCTACCCACTGCATCTCCCCCTTTTGTCTAAATAAGAAGGTTCTAACCTAATACAAGACTATATACAAGGAAAGGTTATCAAATATTGTCCAGGGGAAAAGATTGTTAATAACCTAGATAAGATGGAACTACAACCAATGCAAACAATATTAAGCAAGAAACACATACTAAAATCCAGAGAAGTCTAGAGT